CTTGATCCAGACACAGCTGTCCCCGATGTCAAGCCCATGCAGTGGACAGGAGGGCAGGAGTGGAGCTGGGGGGATTCCCAGGCTGAATTGACATTTCAGAGGCCAGGGCCACAGAGCCCTAGGCTCCAGTCCCCCTCTCTGTCTCTCCCTAAGTGACCCCAGGCAAAGCCCTCAAATCTCCGAGCCTATTTCCCCCGACCAGTGCCCACAGGCAGCCTCCTTACTCCCAGGGTCCCAGTGGGGCGCCGGCCTGTGAGCACACTGTGCAAATGGTGGCCACCCTCTGTCAGTGGGCAGAACTGTTTTCCCTGAGGCACCCAGGGCTGACTCAAGCAGCTCGGCAATCTCCTGGGGCTTCCGCAGGCTCCCCACCCGCCCTTGGCCATGACTGGAAGAGGGGAGAGGGGGCCAGAGGCTGGTCTGAGTGCCCTCCCCAGGCAGCCATCTGCCAAGGCAGTAGTACATGTGCACACATAACCCACTCAAATGTCAGGTGACTTCTTAGGCAGTGAAGTCCAAGGGCTGAGGAGATCCGAGCCAACCCCCAGTTACGGCCTGGAAGATTCTCATTCCCTTACCATCTCCCACCAGAGAGATGGCATCTGGAACAAATAGGGAAGCTCCCCAGCACGCCCCCCATTATACTTCCCAGCTCTGTGCTCCCAGGCTCCTACCAGCCTGGCCACCAGTTAACCAGAACCCTCCATCCCATCTTGGAGGGGGCATGGAAGGCCAGTGCTCCCCCCATCAAGACGCCCAGAGCCAGGGCCTGTCCTATGCCCAGCCTGAGGAAGCTTGTAGAAACATCCCAGTCAGGATGGTCAGACAACTGGGGCTCCCTGGGGACCAGCTGTGTGGAAGCTCCCAGAGCTCCCCTGGAGGAGTACCTGAACTAGAAGAGAAAAAAGGGCCAGGGACCCTGGCAGATCTGGGCCAGGCCTCACGTCTTCTACGGACAGGTCTGGAGTAGAGGCCAGGAGGATCAGCGCAGGGAAAGGATAGATGCTTGGGGCCCAGTGTGCACAGCCGCTGGGGCCAATTAGGGCTCCCCTCAGGAGCAGGGTCCCTTTTCACTCCAGGCTGGGAAACTGGCCATCAGACACCACCACTGCAGCCATAGCAGACCCCCAGGAACTTGGACCCCCCTGATGCCCGCGGGCCCTTTTCCATCCGAGCTTCAGTTTCCCCATTTTTCTAATAGGGATCAATGGAACTCTCTCACAAGGTGAAGATGTCAATGCCTGCAAAGTGCATGGGGCCATTGGAAGGCACTGTTGATTTTTTCAGGGAGTTGTTACCAGGCGATCCACCCATGCTGCTTTATCCCTGACCCACTTCTCCCCCACCCACTCCCTGGGGACCTAAGATGGCATTTTTGTTAGTTGCAGAGACAGCAGAGGTTTGCGGGGTTATGTGGGAGCCAGGAGAGAAACCGGGGTCTACTCCAAGCTGTGCCCCTCAAAAAGACCCCCACTTCCCCAGCAAGTCCTTCTTTGTCCGAGCATCAAAGCAGTTGCCCCAACCCTGGCTATCAGCAAAGCACTAGAGGTCCTGGTTGACCATGGGAGTCCCTGCCTAGCCACACCTGATTTAGAATTCTCCAGGTGTGAGCTGAGGCATCCACCTGAGAAATCCTGGACAGATGTGTCCCAAGGGCCTTGAAGGAGCTGTGGTCCCCCACACTCAGGGCTGGGGCAAGGTTGGATGTGCTGGCATTCTTGGAGAGGTGAACCTTCAGACACATGTCTGGGCCTCAGCCTCTCTCTAGGGCCCTTTCACAGGCCCTGGAGGGGGTGGGGGATCCACATCTTTCTGGCTGGCCCCAAAGAGCCCCTCACCAGCTAGCGGTGTTCCCCACCTCTGAGAAGGGCACTTGTCTGGGTGAAGGGAGGACCCCTCAGTACCTTCCAGGGCTCACCCTTCTGACCTTAGTCATCGGTGTGAAATGCACAATGACAAAATAGCCCTGAATAGAGGAAGGATTCTCTCAGCTTCAGAAAAGGCAACCTCACTCTTCATCCTCCCATTCCACCTGGCTCAGGCCTCTCCACTACACCCCGAATTTCCCACTTGGATAAGAAGCCTCTTCCGCTGGCCTCCCCTGGGGCCCAGGAACCTGGGAAGCACACCCCACTGGAGGGAAGAGGTAGGAGCAGGAGTCTTTCCTGCCCTGTCCAGCCCCTCCCCCCTGCCCGGCATCAGGGGCCCACCCCAAACACCTTCCAAGGAGCTCAACTGCAGGCCCCACTCCCCACATCTGGTCACCCAGCCACAGCTTTCACCCCCTTCCCTCATCCTGGGATTGCCCCAAACTCTGCCCAGCACCCGTACCCGCCCCCTTGCCTAAGTGGGAAATTGGATGGAAAACCCACATGGGAAAATATCAGGAAAACACATTCTTCCTTCTCTACCACAGCTCAGACCCTGGGAGGATTAGGTGGCAGGAGACACTCCCACTGCCCGGGGCCAAGGCCAGGCCAGGGAAGGAAGGCAGAGAAAAGTGGGGGCCCCAAGGTGGGGCTGAGAGGGGTCTAGGCCCCCCCAAACAAGCCCAAGGAGGGGCCCTGGAGAGCTTTGTCTCCTTCGAATCATTTCAGCCTGTCACCCTCCACGGGCACTCCCAGTGAGGCAGCCAGGGGAGCCCAGGCAGGAGAAGACATGGCTGTGGCTACCCATTCGCAGCTGGGCTTTTAGAAACAACAAAAGCTTTGGGGGGAACGTGGTTCACACGATTGTTTAAAATGAGGTTTTTGGATGTCTGTGGCATCCAGTTATTCATACTGGCTCCACCCACGGACAACTGAGAGTTGGCTTTTGTTGGCCTTACCCCTCTCTCAACACGCCTCCGCCCCCCAAGTCTTCTCATGGACTCTGGAGCTCAGGAAGCTCACCTTGGCTGACCCTTGGTTTGACAGCCGAGGAAACTGAGACCCAGAAAGGGGAGGAGCATGGCTCAAACACCCCTGGGAGTCGGTGGCCCAGCCAGGACTAAATTCCAGGATGTCAGACTTCTAGGTGGGGGCTTTTCCCACTCACCCTCCAGGCTGTGGCCCAGCTCCGGCAGATCCCCCAAAGTCACTAGCCCCAAAAGCAGTGGTGCCTAGAAGTGGGGTGACTCACTGTCTGGCTTCCTGGTGTTCCCCCTCCCCAACAGTGAGGGAGGAACTGGCAGGTGTCCCTGTGTAGAGAGCCAGGAGCAGGGAGAGGCCCCCCGGGGGGCCTGTGCCAGGGTCACTCAGAGGGCGAAGAGCCCCAGCTGGAGGGATTTAACACCAAAGCTTAAAGGTCACAGACAGGGAATGGTGGGCAGGCATGGGGGGGTCAGAGGGTCAGCACTAATGGCAGCTCCGGAAAGGAGGTGGAGGAGAAGGGGCTGAGGAAAACAGGGCTGCTTCCAAGAGGTCCTCAACCCCCATAAATGGTGGCCCAAATCCCTGGTCACTGCCTCCTGCTTGGTGGGCTACAAACAGTGCCAAGCTGAGCGGGGAGTGGGCTGTGAAATGAGCTGGGCTGAAGCTCAGAAAGGGGTGTCCTAGAAGGGGCCCCCAGGTGCAGCCCCTCCCCCAATACAGGCCAAGACCAGCTGGGAGGCCCAGCTGTGGCCCAGAGGGGAGAAGGAGGAGCAGAGAGGGGGAAGGCGCCGAGGTCATGGGGAGGGATGTATGGGCTGGGCTGGAACAGCTGTGGCACTGTGGCACTGGTGGGGTTGGGGGAGGGTTGGGTGGGTGGGCAGACTGAAGGAGCCCGTTTGCTCTTCCCTGAGTCTGGGGGCCGAGGAAGCCCTGGAGGGAACACTGGGGAGCAGAGCGCCTTCCCTAGCTGTCTGTGAAGCCCCACCTTCTCCCCGGGCATGTAGGACCCTGGGGATGGCTGTCTCCCACGACCACAGCTACGGTCCTGTCCCTGGTCCAGACCAAGAATCACAGCAGCCCAAGCCGTGGCCAGGTCCAGGTCCAGGGCTGGCCTGGCTGCCCCTTCAGTGTCAAACATTCCCTTCAGAGCCAAGATCCTGGGCTGAGATGGCTGGGGGCCCAGGGCTCCTCCCAGGATCCCTTCCCGCTTCCCAGGCCCCTGGGCAGGGCTGCAACCATAGTGGACCTGGGGGGAGGGGGGGGGAGACAGGCCAGGCAGGCCCTCCTGGACAAGCGACAGGCGGCATGCTGCCCTGCTGTGGCCTGAGTACCCGGCTGGGCAGGGCAGTGTGCCAAGGCCTCCAGGTGCCAGCCTGGATTCCAGCCCCATCCCAGGGGGCCAGGGGGAAGCAGGACACAGGCATTTCCCTCTCTCCAGATGCACCTGCCTCGCCCCCTCCGGACCTTTCCTCTGGAGGGTTAGGGACCCCTGCCCTCCCCTCTCGGCCAGGCCCTCTGCTTGCACCCAGACAGCAGGGGTCGGCACAAGTGCTGGACAGGACTCTAGCTCCTGGTCCAAACGCGGCAGCACCCCTGTCCTGAGCCTCAGGGACGCCTCCCTCCCCTGCCCAAGGAAGGGTCGGGTTTAACCAGGGTCAGAGACTTTCAGGGACAGGGAAGAGACACCTTCCAAACCCAGTTTCAGAAACAGCCCCGACGCAGCCTTGAAAAGGGGAGGCTGCCCAGCAGCCCCAGACAACTTCTTGCCCAGGCCTGAGGGGAGGGGGGCTCCCACCCCGCAGCGCGCCCCCCCTGCGGCCGCCCAACTTCCCCGCCGAAGTTTGCTCCTGCCCCGGGTCTGGCCCCGGCCCCGGCTCGCCCCGGCCGCAGGACCGACGGACGGAGGGCAGAGGGAGGAGAAAGACAGAGAGACCAAAGGACGGAGTCGGGGAGCCGGCGAGAGAGGGAGCGCGCAAGCCAGCGAGCGAGGGAGCGAGCGCAGGGGCCCCGGCGAGGGCGCACAATGGCCCGGGGCGAGGCGCGGACGCGGTAGGGGGAGGCGACCCTCTCGCCCTGCAGCCCCCGCACGACCAGCCGGACCCCCGCCCGGTCTCCGTACCCACGATGCGACGCCAGGGGGCTTCCTACCTCGGCGGCGGGGCGGGAGGCTCCCGGCTGCAAGGCTCCGGCGGTCGGGGGGCGGCGGGGAGTGAGCGGGGGAGCCACCGGAGCGGGCGGGGGCCGGGACCCGAGGCTCACCC